TAAACCAATTAGACCTAGGCTTTAATCTACTTGAGAATAGCAAGAGCGAGGAGAAAGAAAGGAGGAAAAGAGAAAAGAGCACCTAGCTTTAATATTGGCTACTTTGGAGATAGTGTCTTGGCTAACGTTTTCAAACTCCACCTAGATATACAGACAAAGTCTAATTTCGCCCACAAGGTTGAACCGAAACTAAATATTCTTAGATTATTGTTTCTTTTTCATGTGTAAGCCTGGGAAGTTCTTATCATGCTAACCAGGAAGCCCGCTAATAAAGATCACAGCGCTTTTTCTATTCAAATTGTCTACGAATAAAAATACCTCGGTAACGCGCGTTAAATCCTCTATACTGCGAAGAGCCATCAGACGTAAACCGCACATATAGCTTGGTGGACGAACTTGTGATAGGTGCTGGGAGGGAGCTTCCACTAAATCGGCCAATCACAGGTGCAGAGGTCGAGTCACCATCGTACACACTTACATAGTCTGCCGACGATTCGGTGGCGAAATCGTAGAACAAAAGTTCAATCACTGCATTCGAAGTTAGATTCCATCGGCAATCCATATTGCTACTGTATGTGGAGCTAGAGCTACCAGTTGAGTAAATCGTACCACTTGGTTTGCTGGCGTCACGCATAAGAAGATTAGAGCAGGAGCTTGTCGCCGTCATTGTAGGAACTGTCACAAAAGTGTAAGGCGAAAGCAAATTTGATTTTTAAATCACATTTAATTCACGTTCAAACAGTTAGCTCATCCGGTGATATATTTACTTTGAGTTTACGTGACCCGGGTGACCACAGGCAGCCCAAGCTCAGATAGCCTGCTTCTTGCGCCCACTTTCAAACGCTTGCTACGCAGGCTAAAACGCTAATACGTCTGGTATCATATTGCTTAATCCCCAAAATAGCGATAAACATGAAGGATTGTATGGGAAATCGGTAATAGATTCAAGAAAATAAACGATAGCTGGAATTTTCAATAAAAGACACTTTACCTTATTTGCTTGGTTTGTTCTTGCTTGTTGTATGAGGGGAGCAGTCCTCTCTTGAAGCGAAGCGATCTGCCATTTTCACGCAAGAGTGATCGCAAGAATTCGGGTAAAGGAAATCTCTTAAATATAATGAAGCGGATCGGAAAAATAACCACACAGCAAGCAAAAACAAACCAAGTAAACAAGGTAAGGCGTTTTTTACTGGAAGTTCCAGCGAGTATTTAAATTCTTGAGTTTATTACCTGGACTCAAATACAAATCCTTCATGTTAACAGTCATTCAAGGACTACAAAAAATGATGCAACGTATTAATTATTAAACTCTCATTATGAGCTTCGGCTGCCTTTGGGGCGAGCACGTAGAATTAAATGAAAATGTTTCTCTCGTCTCCTCCGGAGACACCATTTGTGTTAGGGACTGGTTAAATATTACTGGAAAACCTAGCCTGCCAGCTAGAGAGAAAAGAAAATGAACAAGTTAACACGCATATCAAATGAGATGGAAGTGGTGACTCCCTTTTTCACTATCACAAAACAAAATTAAAAAAATGTGCAAAAAAATAAAATATAAAAAGTTCTCCGTTCTTGTTTATATAATGATTACGCTGCTAACAGAGGTTTCTCTCTGGCATCGCTTTTAGCGTTACGAAGTCGTTGGCTTGGCTTGTCAGTCGCGTAGCTGGTTTGTTTAACCACCCCGCTCCCTCCCACTTCTTGTACGTCCGAGACGTTAAGTTAGGAGAATGTTAAAGAGCAATGAAATGTAAAATCCAAACATTATACATTTTATTGCCTTAAAATTGCCTTAAAAAAGACAGAAGATGCTTCAGATAATTTTCAAAGCGATAATTCCAGATTGCTTTGTTTTCTATATTTACTGTGGCCAAACTGTCTCATTAGTATCGATTATATATTTGCACCCCTAAATGTCAGCTGAAAATTGATCGACCCACCCCTTACAAAGGATTCAAAAATGGATGACCCACCACCTCTCTGTCCCCGGCACACCCCCTATACTTATGGCCAGTACCTTACATACATTGACTTGATGAATATAGCAGTCTTTTATATTTATTGAATTTGGAAATATGTACCTTCACATTTGCTTTTTCCATCACCGGTGTAGCCTGGTAAACATTTGCAAGAATAGGAGCCAGGAACATTGAAACACTGAGCCTGAGCATGGCAAGAGTATGATCCTGTTTGACACTCGTTCACATCTGTATAAGAAAAGGGTTTGAGGAATGATTTTTCTCAAGACGTTTTGCATCCGAGTCCACGCTGCCAAAGACGTGGCACAATAAGTTTTTTTTAAGTGTATGGTGTTTTTACAGCAGTAGTTTTACTCGGAAGGAAAGGTAAAATGGTCGCAAAACTGGTGATAACACAGTCTTTTTCCTAAACCGAAACCGAACCGCTGGAAAGCGCGCGATTTAGCAGCTATTCACATTCAAAGATTCATCATGACAACCCCTTGCTAACGTGTTCTCGGAGGCTACAAACACAACCGTCCCTTGACCGGCTCTTAACCGCGATATATAACTCACAGCTGATTAAAATTTGACGCAGGAGTCTCCGGAACCCAAACAAATTGTAGTTTCCTTGTTTCAAATACCTTCTTTTAGAATAAATGCCAATAACTGAACGTTGACTTAGGTCACACGCCTATCTACGGATATGTAATCTCTGATAAAAGAATTGAGAAGTCTTCTTTGAGGAAGACTGCATTTATAATATAACAACATATCAATGGTGCTGTCATTCTCTACTCATTATAGTAAACTTAATTGCTTTACAATGTCAAAATTTCTGAAACTGCATCGTTTCTTAATTTGCTGGTTTTGTCATTTTCATCTAATAGATATTTAAGGTATTTAAAGCTACTCACCTGTACAGTTCTTTCTACTAAGGCGATATCCAGAGGGGCATCGACAGGTGTAAGAACCATCATTGTTCACACAGGTGGCGTTCTCTGGACAGTCGTGGGAAAAGCCTTGGCACTCGTTATAATCTGAATTGAATCAATTTAAAATATATAGCACTAAAATAAAAGATTCTGAAATCATCTTTCAGTAAGTAATCTAACTCTTTAGATAGTGGTTGTTATGATAATCTTAGTTGCGCGAATCCTCGATACTAGGGACACCGATTCCATAGAAGAAAAATAAAAAAGAAAAAAGAAAAGAATTTGCATGCACACTGTAAGTAAACCCCAATTAGTCCTTTCTTGATCTGTTCCGGCTATGAAAAACGCATAAAGATGGACAAAGAAAGCAAAAATGGAATACGGAAAAATTCAAGGCAATCAATTTTAGGAGAAACATAACAAACGCTGTAGGTCAGAGATGCGAACTATAATGGCTGAAATGAAAATCGACCTGATTGGTCATTTGCTTCCAATCGATTCTTACAGTTTGCAGCTGCACAACATTTTTGGCCGATAAAGTTGTTTTGTTCAGGAATTGCTTGGCTGGTTATAGTAGCATTAAATTGTCCTTAACTTTATTTCTGCATGAGTTCTTCTCCCGAATTTGCTACATAGTTAAGGGAGTACCCTTTTTGCAAGTGAACTTGTGACAGTCAGAGCAATTGACATCATTCCACTTGTACTCATGACCAGGAAGAAACCCAAGGGTATGGACACAGTCTTCATTTTTGAAGTTGTTTGGTTGGTGGCTTGCCCAGTAATGGAAGTTAAAAGAAGTTCCATCACTCCACACAAACGTCCCTTCAGAGTTGATATCAGTGAGGCCCAACCAAGAATGCTCCCCACCATGGAGGTTTTGAACGTAGACATTTTCTTCCTGATTGTGGATGCTGGGAAGATTAGCACCCAGAACTGAACATTTTCCTTGACTACCGCTCCACGAATCACAGGAAGACACTTTTCTGTAACAGTATCCTTCAAAGTAGGTCCAGTCGTTGGGACATATGTCTGTAAAATAATAATCGAATCTATTACATCCATTTTGAATTTGCCTTGGATCCTTTCAGTCTGATTGACTATCAGCAGTGTAAGATATTCACGAATCAATCAAACTATTTTTCATACTTTAAATCACATCTGTACTAAATCACATCATTTTTGTTCAAAAAAGCAGTTCCAATCTATACCACTTCGTTTTTGGTTCTAAATCGCATCATTTCTAACTTGCACCATGCATGTTGCTCTAAATCGCATCATTTTTGTTAATTTTAGTTTAATTAAATATTGGTACCGACTAAAATCCTGTATAAATTTAATCTAATTTAATACCGTAAATACAGGATTCAAATATTTCCTGATTTCAAAATCGGTGGTTATTCAAACTCGTGTTGTGCAATTTAGGTCTGAAACCATACGGTCTTGTGATTTCAAATCGAACTCGTGTTCACTTGCTCGTTCATTTTAAGATTAAGCGCATGATTTCAGACCAAACCGCGCCCCACTTAGTTTAATTACCAAAATAAACGAATTAGTGGCAGAAAGTATCATTTTAATTCCCATAAGGCGACAAATTTTTGCAATTAAGGACGTCAAATAGTATCAGTTTTTCGTTGTTTTAAAGCACAAACCAGGGAAATTTTTTCCTCATTTTAATCATTAATTCCAAATTAAGAATTCAAAATAATTCCTCTAACCGTGTCTTAGCTTTCACATGATGATTCTTCTTTAATATTGACTTCGATTGTCAGGTACAATCGCTGTCTAATAACAATTAAGCATCATAACTTACTAAAGAAAGTACACCTTCACAGCTGCTTTTGTCAGTAATACTTGGCCAATATAGTAGTTTTTATTTAGTAATTAATTGTTATACTGAATGCAATGGATCTCATTACCTGCCAATACTGCATATGATACAGTCAGTGGATCAAACTGCTGAACAAAGAGTTCTTTGACGCAAATTCGAAATCCAGAGTTGTTGATAAACTTAAAGTCAAGGAAAAGATAAAAGTTTGTGAAAGGAATGTTTTCATAAATAAATGTATTTTTTCCATGACAAGAAAAGGGCAGATTGTTATTCAGAAGGAGACTGAGATTGAAAATGCATCACTTCTCGACCAACTCATTAGATCATTATTATTAGAGCACGAGTAGTACGTTTCTTTAAGACAGTAGGGCGACTGCAAGCAGCCGAGTCTGCTGACAATCGTCCCCCCCCCCCTCTTATTTATAGACAGCAAGCTCTTGTAGACACCAATGCACTGGGTGCACGAACTCACAGTCAGCAGTCTGAAGGGCTTTCCCAATAGAGCTAACCGGGCGGGTAGTTAATGTTTGGTTACGTAATACATTTAGTTACTCAGTCTGTATTATAAGTATGTATGCGATGGCTTGTAGCGATATTCTACATGTAAGGTGTCTAAGGTAACAGTGGAAGCAGACCGTACCTGATCGGAAGTGCTCGAGGTAGCGTGTTGTCACCATGCGAGATATACAGTCGACTCCCGATAACTCGAACCTTCAAGCGAAATCGAAAAAGGTTCGAGTTATCGGGAGTTCGAAGAAAATAGCCGAGAGTAAGGTAAAAAACAGTTTTTACTGCACAGTGAACATTTTAATCACATTAATTGTAGAAATTTCATGTGAAAATTAAAAAAAATACTTCTAGATTAAATCAGAACGTAACGTAACAAAACATAGCCTAGATAGAGCATGCGTTTTACTGTTTTGAGAAGAAAAGCTGCTTCGCGTTAGCCTGTTACAATCAGCATCAGCCTCCACTAGTAAACTATACTCCTACAACACGTCAATAGGAAATCCAAAATTCAATGTTTCGGACGCCAGTAGACGGCTTTTTTCCCAACTTTTAAGGGCTCAAAACATGGTTCGAGTTATTGAGGGTAAAATTATATAGAACACGACCTGAGGGGAAACGAAAATTGGTTCGAGTTAGCGGGAGTTCGAGTTATCGAGGGTAAAATTACAGTGAATGTATGACGGAAATCCAGGGGAAATCGATTTTGGTTCGAGTTAGGGCGAGGTTCGAGTTAGCGAGGGTTCCAGTTGTCGGGAGTCGACTGTATAACCTCAGAGATTTACTGTATTTGGTAACGACCGCTTTCGGATTGATTCAAATGATCGGGAGAAATCATGTGAGAATAAAATACACAATGTTGTACCCTTTGGTCCCCAATGACGATATAATGTTCAAGAAAGATGTATAAAGTTTTCTTATGTTTTGCTTTTAGTGTGGTCTTTTGGGTTTAGGTGGCGTTTTGAGTCGTTTGCATTGGTTTGAAGTTGGCGCCCCGACAAGATACATAAGAAAACGAAAAACGTTATCCGGGGCGCTAATTTCAAGCGACTCAAAACTGGCCACCAAAAGGCAGAAGACGGTACTAAAAACAAACGGTAAGAAAAAATAATTCACCATTTTTTCTTTCATTTTTTTTTTTTTTTTTACATATTATTTCAACTTTTGACTGGGTTATCAAAATGGTGCAAGCGGTATTTCTGCCCGATCACTTGAATCAAGCAGAGCGTGGTGGCTGACACAGGCTATAACTCGAACGATGGTCCGCCTGTGGTAGCAATTATAGAATATGGACCTCAACCCAGCTGACAATTCCGTTGCATTCTGGGGCCGCGTTTCCTCCACTGCTAGAATGTTTGGCTGTTAGCAGCACTGTTGGAAAATTGTTGTAACTTCGTATGAAACTCACGTCCTGTCATAGAAATAAAAGAGAAACTTTACTCGCATTTAAGTTACTTTAATTGTTTCTTTTAGTATTTTCTCAAAAACGTTTGAATACAGGGAATGAACATCGAACTTTATTCTCTCTCCTGTTTTCAATTCAAAACATTATCACAAAAGGATATAACGTTTACATGTAAGTGCTCGAGTCTCCACGAATTGTTTTGAAGAAAAGACTTGTTTTTCCCAAACTTATCCCCGTTAGTAGTCTTGCTTTCTGGCTACGGGGAGGAATTAGTTACATACCTTGCAGAAAGCGAAATTATTGCTTTTCGAGGGTACATTCCCGTTTTGAAAATTTACATCATTATGCTCTGAGAATAGGGGCCTATGGATTGATTCGAACGCTAGCCAGTTCTGCAATGAAACAACAAAAGAAATTAAAAAATGTCTGGGGGTGGGTGGAGAGAGGGAGAGAGGGAGAGAGACGGGTGAAGGGAGCAGGCACCCGAGGGGTGCTCAACAAAGTTTGTACGGGGAGCCCCACCCCAGCGTCCAACCCTTTACCCCTTTATATATCACCATTTTTAACAAAAAAGGTACCTCTTTTTGTATACAGTCTAACCTCTCCTTACGGACACCTCTATAATACGGACACCTCTCTATTAAGGACAGTTCGTTTGGTTTCAGAAATGCCAAAAATCATACATTTCCTACCGCTATAATACGGACACCTCTGTAAAGCGGACAATTGGTTCTGTCCCATTGGTGTCCGTATTAAAGAGGTCTGAGTGTACTTTTTATTGACAAATGTTTCTAGATTAGAACTTTGTATCCCTGTGAACGTCATACTTTTAAATATGAATAAATTACAAAATCAGAACGCTTTCTCGACTTTTTCACAGCCATAAAGCATCTGGTAGCCCTTTTGGGCCTTTTTACAGATCGAAATGACAGATTTCGTAGACTTGCTACACGTCGACCTCTTATAAGTCCTTAAAAATGAGCGAAGCGAGCTTCAATGCAGATTGCGCAGTGACCGAGCGAGCGACGAACCAACCAGAAGAAAAATAGAGGACTTTTAGAAAGTCTACATATTTCCCTACCCTTTCATATACCAGAAGCCTGGAAAAGGTACCCCTTTCGGGCGGAGAGCTAGCCTTCCCGTATTATATTATAGGGAGTATCCCCCGGAAGCAGCACAGTAGATGTCGCTCACGATGTGGTGCACTAACGAAAGATGCAATAGTGACAGGCAGCACTATACTGTCCCCATATTCCTCTACTTTAAAATTAGTGTAGAACAATCTGTTGTCTCATGATTTCCATTATGAGCTTACCACAGAAATGTCGTCATGAACTCCGGCAAAGTTTTGAAGCTCTCGGATACAAATCTTGAAGGATCTTGCGGACGCATTTTCAAGCCAGACAGTGGCTGCATCGTGTCTCAGATGTGCTCTGTGATGTTCTGCTGTTACGAATATGGTTGGTGAAGTAGTGTACTTTCCCTTGAGAAAAAAAAAAAAACAACAACAACAAAAATATTATGACCACTTTTGAAACGTTTTCATGCGCAGGCATTGAAATGTCTGTAAACTCTGAACACTTACCCTACAACATTATTTATCACACTGCAGGTAGTTCAGGCTCTATGGCAGTTCATTTCGTTGGAATTTGAATTTTTTAGAGAATGTATGAGAACAAACAAAATACGTTCTACATTCCGCTTTTTAAGAAGACTCGAATAGGGTTGAGATCGTTTCGCAAGATTGGCCGCCGATCTTAGATGGCATCTTGAATCCAAAACTAGGAATTTCATTCATCTCGGCAAGTTCTAACGGTTAATACGATTTTACACAAATTTTATTTGTTGGTTCGTCTGCCGTAAAAGGTAACGCACCAGTTCACTATTGAAAGTAACCTAGGGGTTGGTGGTAACAACAAAAAATTAATCAGATAATAAGCCAAATTTTTCCAATGACATTAGTCCCTTCTGAACGTCTCTTAACCTTTCTAGGTTTTTTTTAAAAATTTTAATTTCCGTTGCGTCCACCTACGTTTGGCAATGTCACCGTCTGACAACTAGTTCCAGTCCACCATCGAGAAAACTTTTCCTCCCCGGCCACACCTCCAGGGGGAGCCCCTTGGTAGGCGATCCAATCAACAGTGGCAAAGCTATCTGCAGGGTAGTCGTTTCTTCCTGTTCGAGTGACACAGGCGGTAAACTGAGTGCTGTTGACACTTTCAATCCAAGGTATAACAGCCTCGTGTACAAATGCAGCATCAGTGTAGTTGACGTGGTTAACAGTGAGCTGAATATGGATTTTCTGGTGGGGGTAAAATTTGTATGGCTGAAATTGAATGGCCTCACACTGATCCTCTGCCCACGATGGAAGGTTTTGGAACTCATGCCTTCCCTTTTACATTGGAAATCCAATATAAAAAATAAATATTGAAAGAAAAAAAAAGTGAAAGCGAATGGAAGAAAAAGCGAAGACAACACCAAATGCTAACCTAAATAAAGAACTTCGTTATTAAAATTAGACTAAACTCAAATACCTGTACAACTGCCAGGATGATACTGAGTGTAGTTTCCTTGCGTTTCACAAATCTCTTTCTTTAGCAAGCACAGATTGTTGAAGGTGCGACCGTTGGAAGCGCACACCTGTTCATCATACGAAGGGCAGCTTCTTTCACAAACGCATGAATACTGTTGTGCAGAAGAGGCTTTGCAATGACTGTAGTACTTACAGCTTACATTGTAACATGGATCAATATCTAATAAAAAAAAAATTAAAAAAAAAATCTCATTTGGGAACTGGGGTAAAAAATTAAAAATGCTGGACAGCGTATTGGGTCTAAAGTCTGTGATTTTTCATCATATTCCACGCTCACGCATGGCTATGGGATGTAATATGGTAAAGACTGAAAAGGAGTACAATCCAGCGTTATTCAGTCGGTTTATTATCTATCACATCTGAGAAAGTTTCAATACATGACTAGTGACGGGGGGCTCAGTTGTAGAAACCTGTTTTCTTGGAGGGCGAGGAGTAACTAAATGGACAGCTAAAGAAATCCACTCGTTGGTTACTTAATTTTTAGATGAAGTATTTTTCAGAGGTGTCACGAATGGAACATTTGGGAGTCATTGAAATAAAAAAATTGTAGCTAATGTCACCTCCGATAACCAAGTAGTCCACGGCTGCATCGCTTCTCTGACCATCGTATCCCGCAGAGTCTTTGATGCACACTCGAAAGTGAGTTTTAGTCACCTCCTTTGAAATAAACAAAGTAAACATGCTTTACTCAATGTTCTGTTGTTGATCTTTTGTAAATTTAGGGTAGGAGTGTTTTAGAGTACTTGCAGTCGCGTACAGATAAGGCGCAGCCACTAAATAATAAAAAAGTGTTTTAAACTCCCAAGGGGAGGGGGAGAGGAATTTATCCCGATTTCAAGCGACGGGGATGATAGAATGGCTGCTAAAATCAAAACCGTCACTTGAAATCCGGGGTAACCCCCCCCCCCCCGGGGGGGGGGGGGCTAAACTTCCCTCTCATTTGTTACTATATATGAATCAGTCAATGTATGGTTAATAGAAAAGTCACCTACCTCAAGCCAGCTCATTAAAGGACCTTTGACTGCGCACGCTCTGTTAGAATGGTTACTTCCATAGTTGGTTACAGTGGTTAGCACCACTGGTAGCGTTTAAAAGTAACATTCTACAAGAAGAATAGCCATGATTTACGGTCAAATAACTCGCGTTGGTACCACGACTTCTAAATTAACTTTGAGATGTTCAAGAACTGTTCTTATTAAGGACCAATTATTACAAATAATACAGATCACCTTCTTCGCATTGAACTGAGCATGGAGAATAAGTAGTGGATAATGAGGCTAAAATACATTATTATTCATTCAAACTCTTTCTCCACTTCTGATTGGCTCAAAGTCCCCTGCTAATTCGTCAACAACTTCAACTGGCGTTGGCCAAATTTGAAAGATGCGAGCAATATACCATCGATTCGATGGTATATTGACTTGGAAATGAGTTTGATCGGTGTTATATTGATTTGGAAACGAGGTTGCGTGGGCAATAGATTATCGATCAACCTCCTTTCCAGGCGCGGCGGTCCAACTGATTCATACATGCCAACTCTCCCGGATACGACAACAATCTCCCGGTCTCCCGTACGGGTCACCAAATCTCCCGGATAAAATCGCGTTTTGAGCTTTTCTGTGCTTTACTTTGGAATTTATCCCCTTTTCTCCCAAAATTCGAATTGGCTTTGATTCAAAGTTCGGTTTCTGGGGCATTTTGGAAGGAATTACATCACTGACAAAGATTATTTCGCCATTACACCCATAAAAGTGAATGGTGATGATCTGTAACTCATGTAAGACTTCATATAATGTCCTAAGCCGATTAGGGTCTGGATCAAATTGTTCTTTTGGGCGGGGGGGGGGGAATAGGGGGGTTGATCGTTGATATGGGGGGGGGTAATGCAAAATAAAAAGTTGGCATCTCTGCTGTTTATTTACGACTGAACTAAAAAAAAGCGTTTCCAATGTCTGACTAAACTGAACGGAAGGAAAGCAAGAATACACAGAAATTGCTCGATAGATGTTATCTACTTTTTAACTGAAAAAATATCTGCAGGACAAAAACCTATGTTTATATCCTGAAACTGTGCCAAAAAAAGCCAGAGTTCGGAAGAAAGTCAACGAGGAGGTAAGCTTGTTAGGAACTTCAAAATATTTTGAATGAATAATGAAATATATATTGCATTCGGCTTTCGTATGATACGAAGAATTATGCAAATCTCGGAGGATTTTATCCACTCAGGGTGAAGGCAGAGCATTGGGTCCTTTGCTTCGCCATTTATTCTATCGCCTACTCTATTACGCTGATCACGTGATAACACTCACCTTACACAACGCGAAATTGTTTTCAATAGCCGGGACCTCGTTCTCAGAGAATAGTAAAAGGGAGGACTCTTTAGCTTCCCATGAAGAGGGAAACGTTTCGTATGCCATCCAGTTCTAAAGAATAAATAATAATAATAATAATAATAATAATAATAATAATAAACCAAAACCTTTAATATTTATATACAATTCATTTCGATTAAAATAACCACCCAATTCCGATAAAAATTCATTTCAATGAAGAAAAGTTATTCGAATACTAATGACAACAATGGTAACTATTAAAATCCTATTTAAAATTAATTCGCTTGAAAAAGAAGGAAAAAAAACTATTCATTCAAAACACTATTGACAATTCCTGTCGATTTAAAAAGCATTTAATTTAGCTTAGAAAGAGTTAATTTAACTAAGAAAAATTATATAAATTTAAAAACAAGTATTACTAAGAAAAAAAAACTAAAAAAACTAATAATAATAATAATAATAATAATAATATTTTTTAAATAATGAAAGAATTTTATTGACAACAATGCCAACTATTAAAATCCTATTCACAATTAATTCGGGAAGGGAAATTTATTCTCTCATCATCTAAAACTTCTCAAATCCTTTTCAGTGACTACCACTGAAACAGTACAACCTACTTGCCAAATCAATCAAATCAATCAGCTACGCATTCCCTTTGAGCTAACTGCAATCATAGAGGGAGATCTTTTCTGAGAGGAGGGGGCGACTGTACTCAGGCTATTGCAATCACTTAAAAATAGATTAAAATCGTTCAAAATTAAAGTAACATGTACCACGACAAGGCCGTTATGAGCTCCACCAAATGTCCGTGACTCCCGCAAGCAAACTTCAAACTGGCTTCTTGAAATGCTTTCTATCCAAACATTCATTGCGTCCTTCATTTGATCGAGGGTTCCATGTTTGACAGTCACTTGAATTCTAGGAACTGATGAGAATACCTAAAATAAAATTGAGATTGATGTTTTACATTGTTTTATTTGTTTTGCTCATGACATCGCCAAGAAACAAAGTACTGTGTTTTCACCATTTTCATTGTTTGTGCGAAAAGCCGTCCATGCACTATATATTTCACACAAAGCGCTGAAGATGTTTTTGATTAAAATTTTATTGCACCAGAGATTACTCCTAAAACTACGATCGATATTATCAGCAGGATAGTCAGTGAAGTAACTGAAGTAATACCGAACTCGTTTTTATTCATATTTACTCCCTGGAATAGCCGCCACTTAACAAACATTGACTTTACCTGATAGAACGTGACTGTTTTACATTTTGTACCAGTGGTAAATAAGGTAAATCTGGTTTCGCCGTGTTCAACTCCTGACTGCGAACCTTGGAATGCAAACCAATCAATGGTGATGTTCCCATCAGATCCTTGGTCTCCCCTCACAACACAGGCTCTGAAACGGCTCGTTGTCACATCTTCAACCCACACTAAAGAAGTATTATGAATTTCAGATGATTCGTTTCCGTGATTTACCGAGACGAACACTCTTACAGGTGTTCCGCTGGTGAAACTGTTGCTAAATGATACGTATTGGCTTCCTCCAGTAACGTGAATTTTTCCCTTTTCAATTCCTGACAACAAAAAGAGAAAAAAAAAAAAAAAAAGAAGAAGGAAAAAGAAGATAAAGAAAATTAAAGTAAGAAAAAGTTGTGTGAATGCCGGCGTGCTTTTTTATTAAAAAAAAAGTTTTACTTCTCAAAGAAACTTAAGTTACAGTATGGCCAGGGTCACATACAATACTGACAACACTTGATAGTAACAACAACAAACTTTATGATATGCTGACGCTATACATGTGGTAAGAAGGGGTCAAGATGGAAAACAGACTTACAAAGGAAGGAATGATGACAATGAGTCCCTCGTCAACCAAGCGAATAATATGGATTTTCAACTTTCTTTCTATTTTCGTTTTTTTCTTTTTAAATAGTGACATAAATATTGTCATTCTCACTGCAAAAATTGTAAAATAAAGTAGCGTCTTTCACTTTTGAACTTTAAAAGTTTGATAAATACAAATGCTTTTGAAAAGAGTTCGCAATACAGCCTTAGACAGTCTAGTTTCCCCCTCAAGAGACTTGTGCCACCGGTCTCATTTAGTCTGTCTCCTCCTTGAATCGCACCTCCCCGAAAAAAAAAAGCTGGCTACGGGCCGTAATGTAGAATCAGTCTTCCGAAGTACAAACAGCCCGATCTATAATTTGTGTCCTCGTTTGTGGTGTTAATGGTACTTACTATACTAGAAGCGGTGTGTGCGATTGTTACACGCGATTTCCTGACAGCTTAAGAGGCAATCTAGTGGAATTTTTCCTTTGATAGGGAAAACAAAAACGCGCTTCTGTCGATTTTACATGTATATGCAATGATTTCACCTCCGTAAAACTGCGCCCATTCAATAACGAAGCCTTTCCTGAAGCTTCAATTAATTTAACTGTTCAGCTAGGCGTTTTCAATACATATTAAAGAGAACAGTAGACCGCTTGAAGTTCGCCTTTTCTCTTAGACCTGTCAATTTCTTAGTGACAGTGAGCGCGTACAGACAAAAAACCTGCGGTTTTACGCGAAAGGGAACCCCGGGTTTACGCCCTCCTTTCGTGTCGCGGCCCGCGGAAACGCCTCTTGCTACCCCGTAACTTAGAAGAAAATAACAGACCTCTCGCAAAGAACAGCAATTTTCTGCAGTTTGCACCTTGCGGAAGTTGTGAATAGGACATTCAATTCTCCTGGATGTTAATGAAAAGGTGATGCATGGACTATTTGGATGCGTAATGCTAATTATAAAGTTTGCATAAAAGTTCGCCACTTGCAAAAAGGTGCCGCCAGAATTGGATCCAGAAGTAGACCAACATGACGTTTTTAGTCATTTGGGAAACGTCCAGAACAATGGTGTGACTAAGATTTGTTTGTTTGTCTGGCTAGTTTATAAGTCGACGAAGAACGCTTTTGGACGTAGATACTAGGTAAAAATGATTACAAAATTAATGAAGGGCTTAAGCTCCGGCGGTGTAGCATGGCACAAATGACATATTTTATAAACAAATTTCGCCAGCTGTATATATTTTGATTAACGAAAAAAGACTGAGAATTAGATTAAGTAATCCATCCATACCTTTGACTGAGCCGACAAAGAAAAAGAGAGAAGAAACCAGCAGAAAAACAGCGCCCCTCATCAACAACATGGTAAAATATATCTTCAAGTGACAATAGCTCTGAAGAAATGGTAACTGCTCGCTTAATCACAAGGGGTTATTAATTCCGTGGGTTGGAATCCAATAGCAGGTATTTGAGTTGATGCCACAATGATTGACTGAATGAAGTCGGGGGAATAATCCAGCAGTCATTAAACATTGAGAGTGCCTAGGATGCATGTTGCACGTTATGGGTTAAAAAGATTGCTGGATAACTGGAAAAATAAAAACCTTCTTTTCGGAAACAGCTGCCCTTCTGGACATGAAACCTATCTGGAAACGCAATAAAATTTTCTTCCTAGATACATTATTTTTGGACCAGGTCACTACCTCAATATAAAGAACCGCTTGTTTGTTGTCTTTGGGTTCAAATTCCTGACTTATTTTAGAGGCCCCACCGGGACCTGGTCAAGTCCTATTGTAAAACTCAGATATCGGCTGAGCTTTAAAAGCAGAATTATCGCAATGCAAAATCCGCTTATAACAGAAAAGTTTACCTTAAACTTTTAATCATTTCACTACCGAAACAACAAACAAGATATGGTATATATTTGCGTAACCTTAATCAGAGCAAGGTCCAAATAAGCTCCGAATCAAAAGTTTTTAAGACATTCTTTGCGAAGGCTTGCAACATTTTCAAGGTGAAATCCAAACCTCATACTACATGTTACCAAAATGATTCCTGTGTTATAGCAATGAAACAGGGATAAAACTGTTATTAAGTTTTAAAGTCTTTCAAACTTTCTCTAAAGGGGTGCTATCAATTCGGCATTTGAATTGGTGTTAGCCTACGAAAACATCTGTTTCTCGTCGCGATGTTTTTTGTAGGCTAATGTCATGCTGGGGATTGCCTGCATGATAATCTACGGCCCTCTTTGTTCAAAAGCGATCAGAACATAACGAGGGTGCCTTGCGGAAATTTGCAAGGACAAGTATGCAATGAAAAAATATAGCACTCAGCCTCGGTTAAAAGGAACTATTAACAGAAAAAAAAGACTAATAAATTTTTGTTCTCAAAAATAGCTACCTTTCTGGAAATTGAACCTGTCTCGTGACACAAAACTGAAAGTAGCTCAGTTGCTCTTTTGGTACTGACAATAGGACTTGACCAGGTCACCACTCAAATACGAAGAACTCAAGAGGGTGTTGGCACTGGGTCAGTTCTGTCTTCTTTCCACTTGCTTTTGAGTGGTAAGGTTCGTCTTATGCAAGGGTCAAGACTCACTGCATGCGAGGGAATAAATATACCATCCCTTAGAGATCTTATTGCTTTTCAAAATGACTTGAATAAGAAAAGACTGTCAACATAGCGGCCACAATACTTTTGGTTTTTTGTTTAATTTTAGAACCAAGATTGAGGACCATAAATTTATTCACGGCTTACATATATGCCAACCCTTGTGAAGAATAAAAATTGAATGAACGAATTCATGACACTTAAGACTCAGTACAATTTAAATACCATCAAGAGACACTGCAAGCCTTATCCAATCAAAAATGCCGAGCGGGTTTCTGATCGTTTTTTGTGAGTTAACCGACTTCGACTGAAGAGTCTGGATGTCGGATAAAATACGTTTCAGGCGAAGTTAGTCAGAAACCTCTCAACTGATTAATAATTCTTGAACACATTTCATCATAGTCTTCCAAGCAATAGATCGCATCGGAAAAGTATCCCATTTCCAAACCTTTACTTCATGTTGCGGTCTATCTTCACGAGACAATAAAGCGACTGTTTTCAAACTAAACGCTGATATCATTTTCTCTGTTTCTCCTAAAATAAAACAACTAGGAAACAACTACACATTTACGGGGCCTCTTATTTTGTTTCACTAAATTCACGAGAAAGGAATTTGCTACACACGTTCAATCTTTTGGCCACTGGTGATCGAAAAAAGTGCTTACGCGTCTAATCCGGCAAAAAGGCAGCGGCGAGTGTCGGATATAATTTTTACTTCCACCGCAGCGATTCAGTAATAAACTTCAGTATTTAATTAGACTTCTTTGATTGTTCGTTTCGGTCATTGCCGCTAATAGGAAGGCCTGGTTCTTATGATTTTATGTATTCATAGCATCACAGGAATTTAAACTAGGCCTTAAGGGACTCAAGGGTCATATAGATTACCTTCAAGGTTTCATTCATTTCATTGTAAGTTTTACATAGTATTGTAACAGGTTTTAGCAAGAACCTGGATTTGATAAATAATTGTCAATTAGTATTGAAAATCTGAAAAACTCCCAAGGGAGTGACTATAAATAAATTTACATCATGATGTATGGCTAGCGTTGCCGAGCCCTTTTTACAAAACTTTCGTGGCATTTGGTGTTTCTTATTGTGAAGTACTCTGTAAAAATTACTGGATTTACCTTTGAAATGCTACTGAAATATCTCACACAATCCAAAATCCGCTTAATAGTAAAGGCACCTGTCGTAATCCTTTCAGTTCTACAGAAAAACATGCAACGTGCTTCTCACTTTATGGTGTTGACTGTTCATGCAAACTATCGACTATATTCTTTAAAACAGAAACTACTTCAGTCTATCATGTGCAGTTTTCTGCCAAAACTTTGTCGAAATAATTTTGTTTTAGTCTTTCGTGCTGCAGTCTTATTTTAAAGGTCAATGGAACTTTCGCCCTCTTTTAACGGCTTATCAAAATCCCGTCGCTTCCCGACAAGTACTGGCCTCTGGATCTCTGCGGTTTGGATTGTTCACTGTTATTATAAAACAATCCCAAAATGTCACAGG